GATCAGAAACCTCATTTGTGCCAGTTCCAGAAACATGTATTGGTATCAGTTGGTGCCCATCTTGGTATCAGGCAGGGAATCTAACTCCAGCCCTGCTCTCGGACTTCATAGTCCAAGATAAGACAGAGAAACACTCTGCTAGGCCTAGTGAGGCACACCTGTGGACAGAGGGAGGGATTACATTCCCCAGAAGCCTTCAGACAGGTCATCTAGGAGCTGACAAATAGCAGAAGTTGTAGGAAAAGGGAATTCCCAGTAGAAGGAACAGACCAAGATAAGGTACAGGGGAATGGAGTAGATCTGTGATGAGTCATGGAGGGGGTGGTGAAGCAGGAGAGGAGAATGTGTGTGTGTTTCAGGGGAGGGTAAGGAGACAGGAGAGACTTGGGGGGACCAGAGAGGCTCAGATGTTAGCCAAGGAGTCGGGGCCTGAATCCTCTACTCTGGGATATTTTCTTCTGACTCCAATGCATTCTGGTGTTTGGGTTGCTAGGCAGGGTGGGTGGAGCTTCTTAGGACTGAGCTAGACCAAATGCTGGGCCAGGAGTTTATAGGGTGTTATCATCTGAAGTGTTTTGAAGCAGGGTGGGAGCTTCGGGGCTAGGGGACTCTGGGAGGGAGAGACCAGTACCAGACTGGGCTGAGGTCACAGGTGTAGATCTGTGAGAGCTCAGCTACTCAGACTAGAGCAGAAGAGTGGCCACTGGAACACACCTGTCTGGCCTAAAGGGCACTTGCTTTGTCATTCCAGTCCCTAATACTCGGGACTTGTTTGTGAGGAATGTCATGAGGGAAGATGCTGCTCAGCAGGTTGAGGTCCTCAAACCTGACCTGCTCTTCCCAGAAACGTGCTGCATTCCAGGTCCCAGGTGTCACCCTGGCAGGCGGGTGTGCCTGTCAGTGTGCGTGTGCCTGTGTGTGATCTTTTCTGTGTTGGTGTACGAGCACATGAGGATGTGTTTATAGGTTGTTGATAAAAGCTCTTCTACCACCCTGACCTCAGGCTTGAAAGGTTGAACACCTGCATTGAGATGATCACCCCAACCCCGGCTATTCTCCTGCAACACCAGACATTGGTCTGTTTTATTCTCTGAAGTGTCTGTTTTTCCTCCATGCCTGGGTGGGCCTGTGAGGGTGTGTAATGCAGACTCTAGAGACACAGCTGTCAGGAGGCAGCAAGAGATATATGACTGCATGTGCTCCTTCCATGTGGCCATATCAGTTAGGGTTGTAGGGTTGTGTGCAACAGAAATTGACTCTCTTAAGTAAGAACAAAATTTGTTGGAAACATATAAGGAGTTCACAGAATCGATGGGAAGACTGGAGATTCAGGAGTTAGGGCCCCCTAGACCATATTATCGGGGGGCTTTCACCAAGCTCCAGACAAATTTTCTGTATTCTTTTGCCACCCTACTCAAGATTTAAAACACTGGGTGAGGGGGTCTGGTTGGATCCTATGCCATGCCTTCATTTATAACTTCATTAAGACCAAGAAACCAGGGTGCTGTTAGGAAAGGGGGTGGATTCTGAGCATCAAAACAAAACAGCAATGAAAGGGAGAAAAAGACAAAGCAAACAAAAAGGCAAAACAAGAAAACAAAGATGGTGTCCATTACAAGGATCTTGGACTGGCCACTGAATGGCCTATCTCGGATGCAGTCCTTCCATGGGAAAGGGGAGAGGACTCAATGTCCTTCAAGGAAGTCTTCCTTTCTGATGGTCTGAGTCCATGATGAAAGGAGGCTGAAGCTTCTATAATTTAGAAAGTGTTAAGAATGTTCAAATGACAGAACAGAAATGTCTATGTTTGTGGGGGCTCAGAGCCATCTGTTATGAGCAGGAGAGAGAGGCAGAGATGAGCATTCTGAGCAGAACTCATGAGGCAGGCCTGGGCTGGGGGATGGGGTGGCTCCAATGAATCCCAGTTTGGCAACACCAGAAGCAGAGGGGAGGTGCCTTCTCTCCAGCTGTGGGTGGTCACCTGTGGAGAAGGTAATCAAAGGGTGGATACAAATAGCACATGGAAGTTAATGGAGGGTGGAGTCAATCAGGGAGAACATGCCTTTTCCAGAGGGGTCAAGAGAGGAATCTGGCTGGTTTCGAAGTCACTCAGAACAATAGACACATGACACAAATCAACACATATTTCCTGAGCACCTGCTAAATGTAATTTACTCATTCAATCAACAAACATTCTTGAACACCTCTTCTGCACTGGACAGTGGAGATGAATCAGACAGGGTACAGGCCCTCAGGCTAACAGTCTATGTGTGTGCTGGGGTGGACTCATGTTCAAATATAATCAGCATAAAATGTGTTGGGTGGGATGGAGGGATACACAGATTACTCAAGTAGTCCAGAGGAGTTGTTGGCTTAAGGAGGGCTTCCTGGAGGAAGTCATGTCTGTGCTGGGTTTCTAAATAACAAGTGGGAGGAGGCAACTAGGTAGGCAGCATAGGTAAAGCATGACTAGAGAGCCTGGGGAGGGGGAATTGCCCTTATGACGCTCTCCGTGGTACTGAACCATCATTGCATTAGTAGGACAAGGGCTTTTGTGTTGAGGGGAGAGCAGAAACTATACACAAGTGCCCCCAATTTCTGCCACTCCTCTAAGTTCCAGGAAGTATAATAACTGTGAGTAAGTTTATGGAGCTGAATTTTCAGTGTGGTGGAGTGTAATTTTGAGAGATGGGGAGTAGGATCTCAGGCTTGAGATTGGCATGGGTCATAAAGGGTTAGGAAGGGTGTCAGAGATCATGTTAAAGAACTTAGATATTTTTAATTCTATAGGCAGTAAGGAGCCATAAAAAAGTTTTGTGCAAGGTAGTGATGAAGTCATATGTGTGATTTAGAAAATTGTTGGCAAGAAATATTGAGAAAAGACGGGAGGCAGATCTTGGGGTAGGTGGTGTTAAGCTTTGAAAGGGTCCAAGTGATTCCGGCTGTTGTGGCCCAGTGGATTAAGTATTGTCCCATAAACTGAGAGGTCTCAGTTTGATTCCCAGTCAGGGCACATGCTGGGATTTCAGGTTCGATCCCCAATAAGAGGTGTGCAGGGGGCAGTCAATCAATGTTTCTTTCTCACATCAATGTTTCTATCTCTCTCTCCCTCTCCCTTCCTCTCTTTCCAAAAAATAAATAAATAAATAAATAAAATATATTTTTTAAAAGGGTCTGAGTGAGACAGAAGTTTGTACTAAGTCTGTGAGCAATGAGGACATTGGGAGATATTAGAAAAAAAAATGGAGAGGACTTAGATGTGCGAGTTACAGGCTTGAGCTCAGCAAACTGGAAAGAGGCAGCAAAGCAACTTTTAGAATGAAATCTTCTTTTCTAACCCTCCATCAAAGTCATTCATACCCAATACACCAAAGCATATTTTTAGTCACTTCAAAAGATTTAAAGTACACCTCAAGAGTGTCAAAACCCACCAGCTTGGGGGTTAACTCGGCTCACAAGAGACAGTGGTTTGGGTGTATTTGGCTGCGTCACTTGTTTGCCATGTCATGACTCACTGTGGCCAACACCCTCATGAGATGCACCTGTCTGTGCACTTTGGGTCTGGAGGAGCCTGTAGTAGGAATTGAGCTCCCAGCCCAGGGGGTTCGTATCAGAGCTGCATGCCCACAATGGGGTAATTTCTTGGCCCTGGGACCTGTCTGCAAAACACATGAAATAATTCTGGTTTCTGTCTAGTTCTACCATTATGTCCTCAGCACTTTGTACAGGATTTTAATTTCAATCAAAGCCTCAAATGAATGAGTGAGGGAGGGGGGAATACAGAACCTCAGCACCTCTGAGATGGGTGAGAGTGGTGATTGTGGCCTTGAACACTCTTCATGGAAGACAGGACTCCCTCCTCCACTGACCACTAATTGACTTCCAGACTGTCTGAATCCTATCCTCCTATCTACCCCAGAGAGAGAAACTGCGACCCAGAGAGAGTTAGGGGTCTAGTCCAGTCATGCCACCCTCTGGGTCTAGGACCAAACCTCCTATCTTCCATTCAGGGATTTGTCCCTTAGCCAGTGCACAGCTGGAAGTCTGATGCTTGGGGATGCCACACACTCAGGAGATGAGGACCCTACTTAATGCTCTGTTTCTAGTGGGCCCCAGTGGGAGCCCTGGCTCTCCCTGCCAGGGGCTGCCTCTCTGTGAGACAGGGGTAGGGTCTCAGTGCACACACAGGAATGGACCCAGGGGTGGTTGGAGGCTAATCTGAGTTTCCCTGGGGAGTTGGCCAACATAGCCTTGTGTGCCTGTAGGAGATCTGGGTCCTGGGCCAAGCATCCACCGTCATGCTTCTTGGTTCTTTTTTTTTTTTTTTTTTTTTTTATCATCCTCACCCGAGGACATTTTTCCATTTTTTGTTCAAGTAGAGTGGGAGGGAGAGAGAGAAACAGAGAGAGAGAAACATGGATGTGAAAGGGACACATCGAGTGGTCGCCACCCACACAACCAACCAGGGCCAGGGACAAACTGCAATCGAGGTACATGCCCTTAGCGGGAACCGAACCCGGGTCTCTCCGGACCGCAGGCCTATGCTCTAACCGCTGAGCCAAACCGACCAGGGCCGCTTCTTGGTTCTTACCCAGTTCTCCCTGAACTGATTAAATGAGGGCGGGTGAGCCGCAGACTTGATGGAGACCCTCTCTCCAGGATGTGCATGTGCCTTGAGCTCGAGCCTTCAGCTGTCTCCCAGGGTTTCCACCAAGAGCCCACTCTTGTGGTGGGGAGTGGGGACGGAGGGCACTGAATGAGTGCTGGGGAGCCCTGCTTCCCGCACCCTGTTCCTAGCTCCGTAGCTCCCATAAACCCCCTCCTGGTCCTCGCCCGCCTCCCTGGTCCTGCAGCTCCAGCGTGACTGCGCCCCCGTCGGGCAGAAGGGGCTCTGCGGCTCGGCAGCTCAACCCGCGTCTCTCCCGCCCCCCCGGGGCAGCACGTGCGGGGCGGGGCTGTGGCCCGAGCCTGGAGCTGATTGGGCGCGGCCTGGTGGGCGGAGCCGGACTTCAGCTGTCAGAGCCCCGGCCGCGGCGATCGTGCATCGTGCTGAACGGTGGCCGCACCGCAACCCGGGCCGGAGCGCAGAAGCCGACGGGGCCCGGCCGGGATGGTGCAGCGGCAGATCCACGGCGCATACACGCACTGAGTGGGCCCAAGCTGGGCCGCGCGTCCCCCGCGCCCCCCGCCGCCGCGATCCCGGCCGGCATGATGTGCCTGGAATGCGCCTCGGCGGCGGCGGGCGGCGCGGAGGAGGAGGAGGCGGACGCGGAGAGGCGGCGCCGGCGCCGGGGGGCGCAGCTGGGAGCTGGCGGTGGTGGTTGCTGCGGGGCGCGGGCAGCGGGCGCCGTTGGAATCGTGGCCGCCGACGATGAGGTGCAGACGCTGTCGGGCAGTGTGAGAAGGGCCCCGTCGGGACCTCTCAGCTCCCCCAGCACCCCCAGCTGCGCAGCCGCTGCCAAGGGCCCCGGCGCGCAGCAGCCTAAACCCGCCAGCTTGGGCCGCAGGCGGGGGGCAGCCGCCGCCATCCTCAGCTTGGGCAACGTGCTCAACTACCTGGACAGGTACACCGTAGTAGGTGAGCTAGTGCCCAATTCAGCCTGAGAACTAGAACCCCCCCGCCTCGAGGTACCCCGGGGAGCCTGTGGTCCCAGACCCCCTATATCCAAGCCTTACTTGGGGTCCCTTAGGGCCCTCCGCTCAGGCATAACTGGGCAAGTGATGACTCGTGACCCACGGGTCCAATTCAGGGATCGCCCCCTACCCGGGCCCGGGGTTAGGGGAGTCCCACCCCTGGAATAGCCTGCGCGTCCTCGCCAGCCTTTGACGTCCCATCCGTTGTACCCTTTTCCGAGTCTCCTCTACGTCTCTCTGCCTTTTCGCCTCTGCGCCCCCTTCCACCCCCACCTCAGATTTTCGGGCCTCTCCTCCCCAGTCCAGGTGGTCTGTGGGTCCGTAGCCGGTCAGTTCCTTCCTTCCTTCGCCGCCTCCACTCCCCTTCGTCCATGAGGCGAGTGCGCGCGTCCCTTGCTGGTGTGCGCTAGGGGAGACCAAGTGTGTGCGCGCGGGCAGCGCAGATGTGTGTGTGAGCGTGTGAGCGTGTGAGCGCGTGGCTGACAAAGGCTCTGGGCTGCGGGGAGCGGAGGGAGGGGCGGAACGGGTCTGTGGCGCCTGGGGACCCAGGATGCGGTTTGCAGCTGGCCCTGGCTAGAGGCCTGAAGGCGCCTCTCCCTGTTCTATGGCGCCTGGGCCTGGGGTAGGGCGCAGGCCACTGGACTAGAGAAGGGTTGCCTCATCCTCTGTGAGCATCTCGGGGTACCAGCCTTGGAGATGGGGTGGGGTTTCATAGAACAACCAGTTCTAGTCCCAGATTTGCCCCTCCTGCACTTCATGTGTGACCTTGGGCCAGTCTCAGCTTGTGTTTAGGTCTGTTTCCCCCGTTTGTGAGTTGGTTGATCCCGGGCCCTTTGGGGATGGAATTCCAGTTGGCTCCCTCCCCTTCCCCAGTTCTCAGGGGATCTGGGAGTAGAGACTTTCCCTAGACTGAGCTGCTCTTAGGTGGGAATGGTGCAGCCCTGAGAGAAAAGGACTGGCCAGGCTGACAGGCGGGAGCTCTCTGCTGTGACAGTGTACCTGGCATGCTGGTCCAGAACCTGCCTAACCACAGTTTAGTAAAATCTGGAACTAGAAGAAAAAAAGCAGGAGGAATTTTGGACAGACTTTAAAGAGATCTTTGCAGTGATTAAGAGGAGACCCATGGTATATACCAGATGCTACCTGGGTCCCCTTCTGTGGGCCTCAGTCTCCTCCTCTGCTGATTGGGGTTTTGTGTCAAGTGGAAGGGAAGAACTCTGAAGGGAGAGCAAAGGCTTCCCCCTTCCCTCACTCCTGCTTTCAAAACCTTTGGCGCTCTCCATTCCTCCACTGCAGGTTGGAAGTGGGTACTAGTGGCACCAGTTTCTGGGGTCGGCTCTCCCCCGAGGCTCTTACTTTGCTCTAGTGAGCAGGAATAAATACCCAGTACGGCCCAAGTGCTCCAACCCCTGGCACGCATGTGCCTGCCTGGGACCTGGGAGCTTAAGTGCCACTCTAAGGTGGGGAGAAGTCAGAGAACATCGGGGCTCTGTAGTCAGTACAAAACAGACCTTGTATACAGATGGGGAAACCGAAGCCCCTGTCAGCCCTTGTCTAAGATGGCCTGGGAAGTGCCCAACAAGGATGGCTTTAGATCAAGCAGTAAACCTAGCCCAGGAAGAGGTTTTCACTGTTCCTCAGCAGGCAGCGAGCGGTGCTGCTTCTGGCACGGTAGCACTTTCCAACTTGTTTTTATCCGGCCCCAGACCCCCCCCCCCCATACTCTTAGGGAAGCTGACTCTGCTAGGGACTGACGGGGAGAGGGAGAGATCAGGGAGGTCTGGCGTTTATCTGCCCCCACCCCGACTTGGATCCCAGAGTCAGAATATCAGAATGGGGGAAGAAGATGGGAAATCTCTGGTGAATTGCTGGGGGGATGGTAGCAGTAGCTGAGAGGGGTGTGGGTAGTAGGGAGGAAGGCCCGGAAAGCCCTGCGTGCAAACACCAGCCGGGCTGTGCATCCCTCCCTTCCCCAGCCTGGGCCAGAGCTCACGCACTGCCCCCTTCCAACACACAGCGTGCACAGATTTCCTCTCCGGATGAGCCTGGCTCCCTCTTCCTCACTTTACAGTAGATTTCCCCCACATTCCCCGGGCCCTAGGTTCAGTTTTTAGGAAGATTTACTGTCTCTATGGCAACTACTATAGCTTGATGGCTCTTGGGGTGGGGCGGGAGAATGGTCATTCCAGGCCTGATTCCACCTGTTGCTGGCTGGCCCAGCTGAGAGGGAGCCAGGGTGCTAACACTCACTACTCATCACTCACCCCTCTGCCCCCCTAACCTTACAATCTGGTCCTGGCTCCCCCCTCAAAAAAGACAGTTCCCACTCTCTTTTAAATCTGTCCTGTGAATTTCTGTCTTCATGGTATAGATCAACTCTGTCCAAAAAGAATATAATGCAAGCCCCATATACAATATAAAAATTTCCAGTAGCCACATTTAAAAAGTAAACAGAAATAAGTGAAATGAATTAATGTATTTTGTTCACTTCAATATACCCAACAGTTTCAGCATGTCATTAGTGTAAGAGCTGAGGCTGAGATAGTTTGCCTTCTTTTTCACACTGAGTTCTGGAACGGTGTGTGTCTGGCATTTGTAGCACATGTCCGTTCAGACGCAGTGGCTGGGGCCACTGCAGTGGAAAGTGCAGCTAGAGTCTTGGCGCCTGAGTTTGAGTCCAGGCTCTTTCTTCAGTTACCAGCTGTGTGACCTTGGGCATGTCGCCTGAGCCTTCCGGGTGATCATTTCCTCTCCACCTCCCAGCTTGTGCAGCCAATGGGAGTGCCTCTCAAGCACCTGGGATAAGGCTGACTCCTAGGAGAGCTTCACAAATGTCAGCTGCCTTCTCTCCCAGGACTCTGGCAAGCTGGGCCCAGCCCTGATGCCCTTTCCACCTTTCTCTGTGTTGGACAGTCTCTTTCGGACACCTTTTCAAACCCCTCCCTTCGCCGGGACTGGTTTCCATCCTGGGAACTCCAGGAGGCTCTGCTTCTGCCCTAGCATTCCCAGCACCACCCAGTGATCCAGCTAATTATGGCCTCCTACTCGCCATGAGAACCCCCTGAGGGCAGCAGGCCTCAGAGCAGGAGAGGAGGGCCAGGCTCCGCGCTTGCTTTCCTTCCTGAGTGCTGCTTCAGGATGAAAGTGAGGTAGCCCAGGAACCAACCACCTCTGAACCCTTCCCTCTGGCCCTTCATGCGGTGGGGACGCTGAGGCCTGGGGAATGCAGGTGCTTCTCCAAGGCCACACGTCAGGAAGAACAGAACCAGAACCCCCAGCGCAGTGTTCTCTTGGTGGAAGCGGGACTGCCCCCTGCTTCTGGCCTAGAAACTCAGGACTCTGCTGCCAGACTGGGCCGATGAATTTCAGCTCAGTTTAACAGAGGCAGTTGGAGCTTCCCCAGGGCCTGTGGCTTCTGCTCCCGTGGCCCCTACCAGCCTGGCAGCCACCCACTCTCCATTGTGAGTCCACCTGAGGGGGCCCCTCAGGTGAGGTCCTGGATCCCCTCCTCCCAGCTCTGCTTCTTGGTGCCAGAGTTGCCTCTGCCCCTGGGCTCCCATTCTTCCATCTGTGAAATGGAAGCAGTGCTGAGGGTGTAGGTGGCAGCCTTCTGTTTCTGGAGCCGGGCCCCGCAAGAGGGGGCTGGCGCTGGCCTTGCTCATGCTTGGAGACTATTTGAAAGCTGGGATCCTTCCCCACCTTCTCTGGGGTACCTGTCCCTTTCTATGTTCTTTCCCTTTGATCCAGCCCACGGCAGATTGGCACTTGAAACTGGATGGGGAGGGGGCTGGTGAGGAGAAGCAGAGCCCTGCCCTAGGGGAGTCCTTTTCTGCCAAAGAAGCTGAGACCGGTATCCGTGGCAACCGCTCACTATCACAAACCCAGAAGGATTGCTGAGCATAGGGACCTAGTCAAGAACACAGGCCTGGCAGGGACTGGGGCTTCCCCAAACACCTGAGCTGGGTGTTGAGGGGGCTGCCACCCTAGGGGTCTTGGCTTCTTTTGGTCTGCCTGATTGAGTGTCCAGAGCTGACAGATGGGGAAAGGGAGGCCCAGGGTCTCCTACAGGGTCACTTGGGTGGGCAGAGGCCAAGTCAAGCCTTACTCTATGGCTGTTTGTAGATAAGGATAGTCATTACCACCTCCATCCCCTCCCCTCCTGTAGTCTTGTCCGCTTGGGTGGCCCTGCCCTCGCCTCTGACACATCGGCACTGCCTGCAGTCTGCAGGGCAGGCTGACCCAGGGCTGCATTCCAGCGCACCTGTCTGGCAGGTCAGCACTCAGGTGCACCGCAGGCTGGTCTGGAATGCTGGCACCCCAGTGACTAACTGCCAGCTGCCCATTTCCTTGATCCTTCTTCCTCCTTAGGATTCTTGTGGTTGGTTTTATCAGCACTTCAGTCGTGCTGTTGACCTGTCAGAAGAGTGTCTTAAAAAAAATTTTTTTTTATTGATTGATTTTAAAGAGAGAGAAGAAGGGAGGTAAGGAGAGAGAAACACCGGTTTCTTGTTGCAGTCAGTTAGGCATTCGCTGGTTGATTCTTGTATGCGCCCTGACGGGGGATCAAACCAGCAACCTTGGCGTATAGGGACGACGCTCTAACCAACTACTTGGCCAGGGCTTTTTTTTTTTTTTTTAATCTTCACCTGAGGAAATTTTTCCATTTTTGTTCAGATAGAGTGAGAGGGAGAGAGGGAAAGAGAGAGAAACATCGACGTGAGAGGGACACATCGACTGGTTGCCTCCCGCATGACCCCTACCAGGGCCCTGGATGAACCGCAACCGAGTTACGTGCCCTTGACTGGAATCGAACCTATGACTCATTGGTCCGCGGGCCGACGCTCTAACCGCTGAGCCAAACTGACCAGGGCTTTTATTTAATTTTTAAAGATTGATTTAGAGAGAGAGAGAGAGAGAGAGAGAGAAACATCAATTTGTTGTTCC